GTGTGTGTGTGTGTGTGTGTGTGTGTGTGTGTGTGTGTGTGTGTGTGTGAGTCAGTACCTCCACAGCTCCGTCACTGTGTCACTGTGTGTTTGTTCCCATTTCTTTTTTGAAAAGTATTTTGTATCATCAGGAAACCACCGAGTCCGAGACAGGAAACTGACTGACTGACCCTAACCCCATGCTCCATGTCCCATCTGCTAACATGGAGGAGGAGGTTTATGACCTATACTCCAAATATTCAAATACATACAACGTTAAAACATGTCAAACATCACTTCCTGTCTGTGAGCTGTGTCCTGTGACTTCTTCTTTCTGACACTGGCAGGAAGGACGTTTTCATTTTACAGAACTTCCTCGCTGCGGTTTCAGTTTGATGTTTGACTTCATCCATTTGTTTGTGATGCGTCCGAGGATGTGGCAGCAGAATCAGCGGATCTTTCTTCTTCTGTCAGTGATGGTCACAGGTAAGAACTGGGTTCTGCTTCAGAGAGACTCAAACCCACCGTCTGAAGCTGGAATGTCTTGTTTGTTGTTGAATCATCCATCGTTAGCTGAACCTGAACCAGTCCAGGGGCCTCATCTCCAAACGTGTCTCAAGCTCATACCTGATGGTTTCCTCCTCTTCAGGGTCGTGTTGGGTTCATTTGAAGGTGTCTCCGGAGGTCCCCGCCTCCAGAGGAGAAGACGCCGTCCTGAACTGCTCCTTCACCCCCCCCCAACACCCTTCAGGGGAGATCACCGTCAGGTGGTTCGCCAGAGAACCGAACTCTTCACCGTTCTTCAGCTGTTCAGTTAAAAACGACTTAGCGACTCAGGGACTCGGCGACTGTTCGTATTCTGAGTTCACACATTCCCTGACTGGAGATCCACGGCGGGGGGAGCTGTCTCTCCTCATCAGGGCGGTACAGCTGACGGATAACGGTCCTTACTACTGCGGAGTGGAGCTGGACGGCCAGCGGAGTGTTTCCAAAAAGACACAGCTTCGTGTCACAGGTGAATCCTGGGAGTTGTTGGACTGACCTGGTGATGCTGTAGTTTTCTGTCTGAAACTGACAAAGAGCTGCTGAACTGGAGAATCACTTTTAGTCACATGTCTAACTCCGACCGATAACATCACTGAGACGTGAACACGCATGACGAGCGTGAAGCTGAAGAGATGAACGACAGAAACAGACCAACTGAGATCTGTGGAATCATTTAACTGGAGAGAAAATATGATGTGAAAAAGTTTGGTTTCTGTTTAACTGTTTGCAGCTGAACCTCAGATCCTGAGTCTCGTCGTGGTGGAGACAGACAGCGCCCCCCGGAGTCTGGAGTGTGAGGTGGAGGGCAACCCGCTGCCTAAACTGGTTTGGTTGTCGGCTTCCAAGTTAATGTTGGACGACCAGGGGGAGACGTCTCAGTCGCGTCCGTTCCGACTGATCGGCAAGGTGCCGTACCTGGAGGAGGAGGAGTTGACCTGCAGGGCGGAGAGCGAGCTGGGCGGAGCTCAGCTGACGTATCCAACCCATCAGGCTCCGCTGATAACAGTGGTGGTGTGTGGCCTCATGGGGGCGCTGCTGCTGCTGCTGCTCTTCATAGGAGTCATCGTTCACTGTCGCAGAAACAGAGGTGAGCGTCAGTGACATCGTTCACAACAAGTTCAAAAGCTTTTCTCACATTATTTAAGATTCCCATGAATTCACGAGTGAGACGCATTATTATTATTGTTATGTATTATTATCACTATAATAATTGTTATTATGATG